TTTTTTTTTTTTTTTTTTTTTTTTTTTTTTTTACTCTTTCATTGCCCCACTAAGATGCTGGGCCAGGACACTGGGATTTCTACCAGTTCATTTAAGGACAAACAAAACAAAATAAGGAAGGAAAGGTCCAGTTTGTGGGTATTCCTGCTGATCGTATTTTGGGGTGGTAAGTTCAATGGTTACTCTACAACCACACTTGCCCCTCCCCCTCTCTCTGCCTCTGCTTTGTGTCCCTTATTTCTTTTTGAGGTGACAACTCTGCACCGGAGAGATCTAATAAGGAAATCCTTAGTTAACTCTGGTGCTGGGCAGATTGGGAGCTCCTGTACGACACCAAGCTGTGTTGTTTTTTTTTTTTTTGTTTTGTTTTTTTGGTTTTCTTTTTCAATTGTTGTCATGTTAAAGTAATCTTTTTTAAAGTCAGTGTTTGCCATGTTGGATCAAAGGGAGAGGAAGAAACTGGCCAATATTTTATGACTATAAAATTCATGCCTGTAAAAGCAATTTTAGCTACAAATATTCACAAGCTTTATGCCTTTGTTTCGCTGCCTCTGCATTGGTGTTAACACTGAAAATTGCCTACCTCTCAGGGCTGTTGTGAGGACTAACTGATATATCTAAAGTACTTTACAGTCCGTGGTAGCATGGGTGGATTTTAGGACCAAGATTAATATATTCAGCTGTGAGTAGGGGGGGTTCACATATTGCCACTTAATACCCTTAATACACATCATCCACTGTTTTTCAAATAGTTTTGAATTGCCTGCACGTGTGTATACATTTATGTGTTTTCCTGAGTGATAGGAAGGTTTAAGAATTCCTAGAGAACTTAAACTGTGAAAAATCAAGTTTATTTTTGGCCTTGTCAGCAGATGGTAACACTTAAATCATTGTGGCTTCCAATTGGGGAAAGTGGATCTTCTGTGAACACCTTTTTAATTTTAAGTATAAATGAGTTGTGGAAACACTGTCCCTCAAGCATGTATTTTACTGTTTTTAATGAAGTTTCCTTTTGCACTTTTAACTAGGAACCAACTTCTGGTCCCTCCAAAGGCCAAGGCATCATGCTCCAAACTTTCAAATCTGGGCCATTCTTTTTACTTGTATAATGTTCACAAGTATGTTTTTGTAGGTGCACATATGATGCCCACTAAACAACTGGACCCCCAAGTGTTCTACCTTTGGATATTCAGATTTGAATGTTGCTGTCATCTTGCTGTTTAGTTTAATTAGCAGTCTGCCCTAATTTTCATCTTTCACTTCTAAAAACAATCACTTGCTTTCTTTTTAAGCTCTTAGAGATTTGTTTGATTCTATGGATAAAACTTCCTCCAGTATCCCACCCATCATTCTCCTGCAATTTTTACACATGGCTTTCCCACAGTTTGCAGAGAAAGGAGATCAAGGCCAGTACCTTCAACAGGTAAATACTGCTCGGTTAATTTTCTGTTTCTTACAGCTTTCAAGCACTACATATTCATTCCCTGTGTTACAGAAATACAGTTGCAAAGAGTTAGAGAGTTCAGTTGAACAGAAAGGTGTTTCTGTGTTTTAACTGTTGAAATACAAAAATGTTGTAGGTTTTAAAAAAAGTTACTTATTTTGGTATTATCTAGACAATATTGCATGGAGTTTTGAAAGCAAGTTCAAGAAAATTAGTAATTTTGGGTCATGGGGACATTTTTAGTTGATGAATTTTCAAATTCTAAATTTCATGTTATACTGTAAAGGTGAGTGTTTTTGATATTGGATATCAAATTATATGCCTACCAGTGGTATCTAGTAAAACTCACTATTATGTTTCCTTTGTAGGATGCCAATGAATGCTGGGTACAAATGATGAGAGTACTACAGCAAAAGCTTGAAGGAGTAGAAGGTGATGCTGTTATGGAGGTAGTTGTAATCTTATTCTGACTATAGGTTATACAGTGCTCATGACTTCAGTACATTTTATGACTCCAGTGCTGATAACAGTAAATGGTTGAACTAATATCACAAAACTTTTGGGTACTGTCAAGTTCTCCAGGCTGTGCTTAGACAAATAACTGAAGCTGCCCTGTGGTGTGAATGCTCAGTGAAGTGTCACCCACACACCTCAGTCTTGCCTTTTGGGGTGTCCTCTGCTATGGAAAGGCTCTCGATAGTGATTAAAGGTTATAGTGGTGTGAGGGGACCGAATCAGTGTATTCAGTGGTCGTACTCACCTATGCCTTTAGTTGCTGCTGAAAAACCCTCATTTATGGGTTCAGTGTGAATTCTCAACAAGAATGCTATAACAGAGACAGACTACAACTTGGTTAAAATAATGAGTTTTAATTCTTATAGATAAATGAAGTCCCAAAGTTTAGGCTTGAAAAAAGCATATTTTGTGTAGCTTGGGACTTTATAAAGGTCAGTTATAAAACAGTCTTTATTCTAATTTAAAATATTAGAAAATATTCATAACTTTCAACCTGCCTCTTTCCTCCCCAAAATACCTTCCACCCAACCAAAGAATGGCAAGTGTGGGTTTTTTTGATCAACAGAAAGAGTAACTTAATTTGCTCAGATTACTTTCACGGTAATTAAATAGTAGTGTCTATTTTAATTGTTTCACATTCTGCATAGGGAGATTAAACTGATGAAATTTCAGTGTACACTTATGATTACATAAGAACTAGATATGTTCTTTTTGAAGGAGTATATATTAAAGATTTTTAAAGGAAATGGCACTTATTTCTAGTCTGTATGGAAAAGATTATGTATTTTTGTACGCTAATTAAAATAATAGTAAATAGTGCTAAATAAAATAATGTAACAGAACCTGTTTTGCAGACAGACTCAGGAGCTCCAGCAGCAGCTTCTAAAAAGAAGAGTTTAATTGATCAGTTCTTCAGCGTTGAATTTGAAACGGTGTATCCTAAAAATTAAGACAAGATGTTAAAAGCAAAGTGATGGATTACCTCAGGAGTAGCAAGGGATTTCTTTTAAAAGGGGGTAATGAATAAAAGACTTAATTCAGAATAGTAGGTGGGGGTGAAAATATTTGGTCTAAAAATCCTCTCATATTGCAGAAGGTACATAGTAACATATCACACCACTTTTGCCGAGCTGTAGTGGGGGAAACTATATAAGAACTATCTCCCTGAAAAGAGCATTTGAAGTTATTTGCCTCAAGAAATGTTAACCTAAAGAAAAACCAGCAGTGTCTTGTTTTGAAGGGAACTGCATGACTCAAGAGCAAATCAGGAATCAAGTGTTGCAGATGTGCTTAGCAACACACTGAACATGGATTAGACTATTCCTTGTGGCTTCATGCCATAGCCCCCCAAATTTTCAGACCTGTGGGGAACCCTGGAAGCTGCCAGATAACATGTTTTCATGGAGCATATCTGGCCGACAGCCTTGAAGTTGAGCACTCCTTGGAGTAAACAATACATTAGTTGAACTCCCATCAGATGACTGGAAACTGAATTCATTGCACAACTGTAAAGTAGAGTTTTTGTATACTAAATATTTTTTAGGGAGCTGGACTGGCATATGATGGAACAGTGCCTGGGCTGCCACTTTTGCACTTTAGGTCCACAGTTCAAATGATTGTCGCGTTTGGCCTCAGAAGCATTATACCGTGTGTTGAATGTGCTGGCAATGGACAGACAGGCTACTGGTTTTTCATCTCCAAAATATTTAGAATGGATTACTTGTTTAGATAAAGAAAGAATATTTCATATTACATCCTAGAATGTAGTGTCTGGTGTTTTTGAAGCTCATTTCTTTCTCTTTTGAGCAAGAGGACACCATACCTTTCCTTTCATGTTATGCTTTTAATTATAATGCGAGGCACAAAATAGAGAAGAGCCGGATATGTAATCAGGAGAACAGATTGCATAAGTAATATTAAGTTGCAATAAATTCCAAGGTTTAGGGTGAATAACTTGGAGAAGTGAGTAAGGATGTGATAATGGAAGTGTGTGCTGAATGGATTACGGGTTAAGGAAAGGAAATGTTTGGTGGAGGAATTGTTGCCAAGCGTACCAACCATCAAAAAAAATATGGGCATGGCTGAGAGAAGTGAAAGAGTTAGTGACTGGGAGGCGTAATAAAGGAGGAAGGGTTTGATGCAACTACAGAAAGAACCTAGGGGAATTTAGTTACAGAATCAGGGGTGGTGGGCTGGAGAACAGGGAATACTACTCTCTCTCATTTTGTCTTATACTATAGTGAGATTTCGTAGATTTCATAGACATTAGGGCTGGAAGGGACCTTGGAAGATCATCAAGTCCAGCCCCCTGCCCCAGGGGCTGGAAGTCAGCTGGGGTCATGGGATCCGAGCAAGAAAAACATCCAGGTTTCTCTTGAAGGTGTTCGAAGTAGGTGCCTGAATCACCTTCGGCTGCAGTCTATTCCAGACCTTGGGGGCTCAGACAGTAAAGTTCTTCCTTAGGTCCAGCCTGCAGCAGTCTTGGAGGAGTTTATAACTGTTTGGCCTTGTAATCGCCTGGGGTGCTTTGGTGAGCAAACATTCCCCCAGGTCCTGGTGAACACCCCTTACAAACTTGTAGGTGGCCATCAGGTTGCCCCTGAGCCTGCGCTTTTTCTGGCTGAAAAGTCCCATGGCTTTCAGCCTCTTGTCATGAGGTCTGTCTTCCTGACCTGGTCATGCGTGTGGCTGTTCTCTGGACTCTCTCAAGCTTCTCCACATCCTTTTTGAGTTGTGGAGCCCAAAACTGGATTCGATACTCCAGCTGCGGCCTCACCAGGGCCAAATACAACGGGAGAATGACGGCCTGGGATTTGCTTGAAAAGCATCTATGGATGCAAGCCAGCATTTTGCTCGCTTTACTAGCTGCAGCATCACATTGAAGGCTCATGTTCATTTTGTGGTCCATCCTGACCCCCAAGTCCCTCTCGTCCATAGTGCTAGTTAGCATAGCACTGCTGAGCCTATAGACATGCTGCAGGTTTTTCTTCCCAGGGTGGAGAACGTTGCGGTTTTTGGTGTTAAACACGATCAGGTTCTTGTCCACTTATTTACTGAGCCTGTCAAGGTCAGCCTGGATTTACCCCCCATCCTCAGGTGTGGATGCTTTACCCCAGAGTTTGGTGTTGTCGGCAAACTTGGCCAGTCCGCTTCTGACTCAAATGTCTACATCATTAATGAAGAGGTTGAATAAAATAGGTCCAAGGACAGAGCCTTGAGGGATCCAGGGACCCCACTGGTCACAGGGCACCATGACGATTGACTTCAGTCAATCACCACCCTCTGGGTCCAACCCCAGAGCCAATTCCCCAGCCAGCAGATTGTGGTGGACCTGAGGCGACAGTTAGCCACTTTTGCCAAAAGGTGATCATGGGATACCAGATTGAAGGCTTTTTTGAAGTCAAGATATATGACATCAATCTCTTGCCCCTTGTCCAGGTGATAGGTCACCTGGTCGTAAAAGGAAATGAGATTGGTCAAGCATGACCTACCCACAACAAACCTGTGCTGGCTGTCCTTCAGATAAAGAATATATTTTCATAAAATACATACCAGCCTGCAGAGTGGCCTGAAGAAATGTGAAGCTTTTTATCTAGCCTGTATAGAACATATTGTGATATTGCTCTATCAGTAGGGTATAATCTCCAAGTCAGAATTTGGATATAAGCCAACCAAATAGTTCAATCTGTGACTTCTGATTTAAAAAAAAAAAAAAAAGGCATGTGCAAGGCTCTGTGACAGTTTGCTTTGTTGACTGTAGGTGCCTATACATGTGCTTGGGGGTAGGGGAAGGCGTTTTAATTAAAAGCAATTTCTGGAGATCTTCTTTAAGTAAGACACTGCTGCATCACATGTATTAAGTCCCCACATATTTAAATGTGGCTGCGGGATGCTTTTGACTAAAGCTCATTCGACGAGTTTTAGTTAAAGTGCCCCAGTGGCCATTTTTAAACCTGCAGGGGCTTATACACATGATGCTAGCAATGCTAGAGTGTTCTAATTAGAATACAGAGGAAACTCAATCAGGTCTGCTCTGATGGATTCTAATTAGAAAGTGTTGGAGCATGTGTATAGACACCCTATGACTCTAGGCATCAGGTGAATTAAAACAGATATCTGTTGTAACAGAAGGGATATTGATTGTACCAGATCTTATTTTTACCTGATATAAAAACCACAGTTATGTTAAGAAAACAAAAGGGGTGAGGGGAAGCCTTTTTAAAGGGGAGCATAGAAAAGTGTTTTTCAGTTAAGAGCTTCAGATGATGATAGTTGATTTCTTGTTCTGCTTAGCCGTTTAAATGGAGTAGGGGTTCAGCTCTTAGTGCACGATTGTTTTCCTTAATTTTGTGAAGCATGAAATGTACAGAAGCAGAAGAGGAAGATGTAACTAAAGGAAAAGAAAATCTGCTTCAGCTTAGCTGCTTTATCAATCAAGAAGTTAAATATCTTTTTACGGGACTCAAATTGGTGAGTTGTGTTTTAATATCTTGTTGTATTTACATTCTAAATGAACAGTATCATTGTCCTTAGCTTTCAGGATTGGTGTGATAGCCAGGGTGGATAAAAATCAACAATTAAAAAAATAGGATTGTCATTTAAATCAGAATTCTTTTATTTAATCATATTTTTTTTTATGGTGCTTTAAAAAAATAAATCTGTATAAAGGTGGTTTTGATTTAAGATACGTTAAAGCTCAAAGATATCATCATGGAATAGGGATTATAACTTCCAATTATATACTGTTTGAGACAATATATTCATATAACCGTTTTAGAAAAGTTTTACAAATAGGTCACAACAGCCCATGGACTATATTAGGGGGCCAATCATACGGGGTTCTCAGAAGCTCCTTTATAGATTAGTGAAGATTAAAGAAAACCACTCTACCCAATGGGACTCGGTGCTCAGTCTAGAAGACCCTATTAAGTATCTCTGTGATGCTAAGTTTCAGCTCTCAAACTGGGTTGGTCTCTCCAGAGAGAACATCCTTGTTACCAGCAGTATATGGAGATGAGAGATAATACACCTGATTACCTACCCATCAACCCTGTTGTCTGTTCAACTTGTCAGTGGCTGGAGACTACCTAAAACACCTTCCCACCCCACTCACCCCAACCCTGCAGTGTGTCACACTCTGCCCCCTACCCCCTTCTACCCTGCACCATGTCTGCATCCTTGTGCTTTACTGGGTCTTGAAGTCCCTCCAAAACTGCCATGCCTCTAGGGACAGGGATATACAGCGCAAGCTAGAGGGAGCTCAGAAACCCTGGTGGCAGCAGCAGAAGAGTAATAGAGGGAGTAACACAAAGACCAAGAGCTCAGGGGCCACAGATTAACTACTTGGGGGCTACATATGGCCCGTGTTCTGCCAGTTGGACAGCCCTGACCTAAATCATACTTGAATGTGTCTTTAGGACTAAGAATTAAGTACTTTGTACTGCAAAGCAAGATAATTATGGTTGGCTCCGTTTGTTATTTACATCCTCTTACGGAAGGGTGTTTCTCAGGCTGGTAGAATCCCTGTCATAATCAATGTTAGCTAGCAGCAAGTCGCATACCAAGTATGAGAATTTTTCCTACTCTCACTGTGTAAGAGGATGCTAATGAAGTATGTGCTAACAGCCACAAGGAAGTATTACCTTTAATTCCTTTGCCTGCTCAGCAGTCAAACTAGTGGATTTTAATCTGGCTTCACCTTTCTGGTAGTATCTGCTAGACAAGTTCTTACATTGCCATTTTTATAAATTGAAACAGAGTATAATGTGAAATGCATGAAGTTGGAGGGGGTGGGACTTTCAGGCTTACATGCTTACTTTCTGTTCTTGCAGAAATTAAGCTTTCCTGCACATTTGAGCCTGATATGCAAGAGTAAATTCAAGTCCCAGATTATGACAGTGGCGTTACACTTGCATTGTTTGTCCAGAGTAGTACTTAAGAGAACTGTTACTTTTTGTGAAGTATTCAACCTCGTTTGTGAGAGAGACAGAGAACACGAGTGAGCATGTTTAGGAAGGTTTTACGTAAATTTTAAAATCCATCAAAATGAAACCCATTTAAAAATAATTTTTAAAGTAATTTTTCTCTATCTAGATGTAGATTCCAGAAAACAAGCTGTTTGAACTATAGCCCAGTTTCTTTTAAGAAGAATAAGAAACAGGTGATGAAACAGATCATAAATTTAACATTGCTTTAAATTTTGCAGACGAATGTTTGAGTGACTGGCTTTGATTGGTTTTTTTAAAGCAAGCTATTTTTATAAGATTTTTGTGTGTAGACTTTTTTACCTTCATGACAGAACACCACTGTAATACTTTTCTCCCAGATATATCAAGTCAGTTTACTAAAAACAGTCTGTCAGGATTTTATATTTTTGGAAGCTTGGTGAGCCAGGCCCACTGCATTATGCAGACATTTGTGGTGTTTAAAAACTGTAGATTTAAGCAAGACTTCTTTTCCCAAACTGATTGATTGTTGATAATGGCAACCCAATTCCTGTCTGATTGGGTCACATTGCATGCTGCTAACGTGAGCCTTTTGTCTGCTTTAACTGAAGGCTTGGGAAGGAGGTGTTGCAAGGCTGGGTAACTGAGGCTTGCTAGACAGACCTCTAACTCAAGAAATGTAAAGAAAGTCTGACCTCCCCTCTATTTCGGGGAGAGACGTTGCAACACCAGTAATCAGGCCTTTGGCCAGTCTTTTCTTGTACTTTGAAGAAGGCCTTTTAGAGAAAGTTATGGTGCCACTAGGATATTGCCTGTCTCTTGGAATGCTGTTCCAGATTCTGTTTTATAGATGTGTAGAAGACTGGAAGCTAAGGAGGCTGTAATTCCTTTTTCCTAGATAGTACAAACAAGAAGAGATTTCTGTTTGGGGGTTGGAGATATTCTGGTCTATTTAGCATTATTTTTAGGATGTGGCTATCAGTGTAGCCACACATACAGCGGCTTGAACTCCTGTTATATCAACACAGGAAAAAGAACCAGAAAGCAAGTTTCCTAGATCTAAACAGCCCTCTTGTTGGCCCTATTCAGGTGGGTTCTGTAGTCCCAGAGAAAACTTAGACTGACAGCTTTGTCACTTATCACTTCTGGTAAATAACAGAACTTTCTTGTTAAATGTTTCTCTTTAAGGGTTGTCAGCCACCAAACAAGAATTGAATTCAACAATCAATGCCTTATTATAAGCTTGTAGGCAATGCTTCAGACATTGGATAACGTTGTTTCACTGTTATATAACTAGTGCTAAAGTACAAATTTGGTTGACTTTCATCTGGATTTAAAGCCAAGCAAGAGCTACCTCCTTAGAATATTCTATAGGTTAAGTTTAATTTTTGGTAGTTGATGACATGAGTTTCAATGTGGGAATGGAGTTAGTTTTGGATTTGACCTCAAATTTTAATGCGTGTATTGCTTTATTCTTACGTTTAACATTCTTAATAATGCTGTAGTTTTGCTGATATGTTTTAAGTTTCATGATTTCTTAGGCCAGCTTTTACACTGAAGGTGGGTTCAGAACATTTAAGAACATGGGTGGGTACCGACTGGTCAACCTCAAACCTCAAGCAGCTCTTGCTAATTAGCCTTTGGCTGCCATGCTACTTCTGGTGCATCTAAGAATGAGAATCTTGCTACTTGGTTGAGGGCCCTGATCTGTGCTTTTCTATGAATTAGACTTAGAATATTAATTTTAACTTAATTCTTGCATGTTCAAGTTTGGATTATTTATAGCCAAAATGTGACAATGTATAACTGGCTTATAGTCATGCCACTTTCTAGAGGAAAAGAGCTTAAGAAAATTAGGTTGTTTTCAAGATACTGTACATATGCATGGTACTGAGCAAATACATGGATATAGTCCTTATCCTGAGGAACCTAGGTTCTAAATACATGTATAACAGAACAAATGATAGCAACAGGAAGAAGATGGACATAGGAAAAGTGAGGGCAATAGCCAAACATTTATTATATGCAGATGCTTTGTCTTTTCCTATGCTGCCTCTGTGTATTGTAATTCATCCACATATATTATTCCTCACATCTTTCCCAGCGTCTTCAAGATGAAATCACCAAACTCTCTCCAACACTGCAGAGAAATGCTCTCTACATCAAATCTGTGAGTAGTACTACTGCTGTTTTTATAATCCTGTTGGCTTCATCATGTTGACAAGAACCTTATGGCCCAAAACACTGATACTGCGTGCAGTTGCCACCAGCATGGAGCTGATGCCAGAGCTGTGGAGCCCAGCACAGCTGTTTTGCAGCCTGCCTGCTGCTTGCTCCAGCTGCCCAGAGCCCAGGCTGGCTACAAACAGCTGTGCTGGGCTCCGGGACCCAGTCACTGGCTGTGTGCCAGGAGTGGGGCAGACGGAGGTTGCACTGCCTCAGGCCCCTCCCCCACTGCATGTGCCAGTACAGAACTGATGCCAAGGCTTCAGAGCCTGGCGCAGCTGTTTGCAGCCTTCCAGCTGTAGCCAGCCCCAGCTCTGGGTAGCTGCTGCCAGCAGGAGCCCAGGCTGGTCCCATTAAGCAGCTGGGACACTATAAGCCCTGCTGGGAGCAGCCTGGGCTCTGTCGCTGGCAGCAGCTACCCAGAGCCGGGGCTGGCTGTGGCATGCTGAGCCAAATGGTCTTGCTTGGCATGTATGCCTGGGGTTGCTGACCCCTGGTCTAGTGGAATGAAGAAGATAACCTCAGAGTGATTTTACTTTACTGCGACTTTCAGAGTGGGTCCTTACTGAGCTGGGTGCTGTACAAACTCATTGGAATATCCAGCCCCTGCTGAGAAGAACTTGTAGTCTAAGATGGTGCCAAGTTTGATGCTATTTTCTCTGTAAAAATTTGAAATAATAATTCCTCTTAATATTTTCTTGTTTAGTCCAAGATCAGTCGCTTGCCTGCCTACCTGACTATTCAGATGGTTCGATTTTTTTACAAAGAGAAAGAATCTGTGAATGCCAAAGTTCTCAAGGTCAGTAGGAGCCTTCATCAATATATCAAATTTTAGCGTTTCCTTGTATCTAGTGATCAGCATATTCCAGTTCATGAACACTTGAAGAAAATCAGTTTGCTCCTAAATGCAGACAGTAAAACGGAAATACAGAATATCTTTGAATAAAGAAATATGTTTTCCTACTTTACTAATGCTGTCACAAACAAGACCAAATCAAATGCTGTTTTCTTTAAAATTTGAATTTTCAGTGTGTTGATACTGCTTTTACCTCTAGTTAAAGGGTAACTTTGCCTTTTTGGAACTGTCTTGACAGGAGAGAGGGCTCTTATTTCACACTTGGTGTTTAAGGGCATGCCAAAACCCAGAATAAGCCTGTGTAGTTGGGGTAGAGTGGCCTTAGTTTGTGGAGAAGTTTGTGGTGTATACTCAGGGGTGCTTTGTGCCAAATGCACTGTCTAAT